CTTAGTATTGCCGTGTTCGCCTGCTTCCACACTGTATCCAAACCACCAGTGGACGAGTTCAGCCATTGCATTAACATTGAGTGTGCACTCTCCACTCTACAGGTAGTAGTGTTGCCGAGGTGTTGCACATTGTTCGTCGATGCGTGAACAAACTTCTCCTGACGCACTAACCAAGTATCCTCAACATAAGATACCACCTGCAGAAATAATAAATGCATAGACTAATATAAATAACCCTATCAATAATAATAACATTATTAATAAATGCTATGACTAATACTACATAAAACCACCTCCGGCTTGTATCTCCACCGATCTCTCAGCAATTCAACTTGTCTATAGTATTCCATTTCTGTTAGGGCTTCCAAGATCTGTCTAAAGATGCCGTTCTTGAATCCCTCTGCGATGCGCCTTTTTTTTCCACAAAATTTGTAGACTCTATCTTTAACGTCCTTGTTGATGTTCCAGGTGCAAAGCAAGTGGGGAGTTTGTGGAAAATACTCCATAATCGGTGTCATCAGCCCCAACTCCCGATCAGTCACAATAACCGTCGGATGCACATCAGGACCAATCAACTGCCTCAACTTGCCCATGACCCAACTGATGCGCCAAGGGCTTATCATGGACATGAAGAACACAATGGAGATCATGGAGAGGATAAGCATATGCGGCAAAGAGCTAAGGATAAGCTTGAAGATAAGGAGGGTTGCGCAAAGGATGATTCAAGCATCAATGAGTTTCCAAAGATGCCATTTGATCCATTTAAGATGCCTTTAGGTCTGATGACTAGAGCAAGAGCTAAGAAGTTCAAAGATGCATTAACAAGCCTTGTTCGAACTCATCTTGAAGACTTGAAGACCATTGAAGAAGTTTGGAGCAAGAATATTTCATTCGATTCTATGTCTACTACAACCGAGTTATATTCCAATCGATTCCAAGTTATGCACCTTACTTGAAATCGATGAGTCTTAAGCCTTTCATTGTGTAATTCGGCCATATGGGCCTTAATCTTATCTTAGATTAGTTAATTATATAGTTTGGACCTTGTTTAGGGTTGGGCCTTGTCTAATTAAGTCCAATCATTAGCTATTTTCCTATTGGTTATATTTTAGGATAGTTTCTAGATTGTTCTATGCTAAAACCGCCCTTGACCCTTGCATTCAATGCTAGGTCGGTTTAGGAGTGGTTTTGGAGTAGGATTTGTGTTATCTTGTGCCTATATTAGGGCATCAATATCTCTTGTAAACATAAGTTGAGTTGATTAATAAAATTGAGGTTTATACACCGAAATTGATTATCTTAGCTTCATTGTTCTAATTTGAGCATGCTTTAGGGTTCTTCAATCTTGTAGAGTCCTAGCAAAAAATTAGGTTTTGATTGCTTAATTGTTTGTGAATCTTGTGATCTTAGGTGTTCAATTGCAGGTCTAATTGAGGGTCTAAGGCCGACGAACGAAGGAGGGTTTACTTAGTGAAGATTATCGACATACAAGTCTAGAAGTTTGGTGATTCAAGTTGATCTTTGCACATCTCCTTTAACATAGACACTCAAAGTTCTCCTTGCAACTAAACTTAGGAGTTTGGGTGTATCACCATCATCATCATCCTCATCTTGCGCATAATCTTCCCTTTCATCATCTCCATCACCACTTGATCCTAGGGTAAATTCTTCATCTTCATTCTCAATTTCACCATGATCATTAACAAACATCACCTTCTTGTTAACGTAATCCTTAGCATAATGACCATATCCTTGACACTTAAAACACTTAACATGAGACTTAGAAGAAGAACTTGATGAAGACTTAGAATCAGTTTTAGGGCTAACCCCCTTTTGCGCCGACTCCTTCTCCTTGTTGGATGATTTCTCATCTTTCTTGATTGGAGTCTTCCATGAGCTAGATGATGATGCAAAATTCTTCTTAGAGCCATTCCTTTAAAAACTTGATGATAGCTCCCTTGACTCTCATCCTTCATAATTACATATGTTATCATGAAGTTCTTGTTTGTTGGAGTCATCCCTGTGATTTCAAAAAAAGGCATCTTGTATTTATTGGTTTTGTAAGTTGTATCCATGCCAATAAACCAGGGGAAGTTTCGGAATAAAGCGAGAGATTTTGGATGTGCCATCAACAAATGACTCACCCTGCTGGTTTCCGGGTCAGAAATCGTATGATATACATATTTGTTTTCCCTCGCTTTATAAAACAACTCACCCACAACATCTCTACCCTCTAAATCCTCAATCCGGATTACATTTCTATAGTTGTACACCTATTTTCTAGTAACGTAGTCATGTGGCTGTTGTTGCTGAATAGACGTGTGAACAGTAGATGGCCTAGCCAAAGCCATGTCCTGCACAATTTTTTTTTTTGATTCATCAATAAGTCCGCTCATCTGTCGATATCCTTCCGGATAAACAGCCATAGCATGGTTGTGCATACCCTTTATACCAGGATATGCAATTCTGCACCTGTTATAGTCACGCGATGCTTTCACCGTGACCCGGAAAAGACATTTGCACACTTTGGTCTTTGTATTCTTTTGCACGGCAGTATCCAAATCTCTCAAAATCCCCATGTACCGTTCACCACGGAAACATCTCAATATCTTCCTCCTACCATCATCTTTGTGGGAAGAAATAACCAATTCGAAATGATTTATAACTGCAATATCTTTGCACCATTGAATTGCATCAGAACCGGTCGTAAAAGTTTCGTTAGTCACGAAGAATGGACTATAATCAATACCATCACCACCAAAATCTTCCAATTCAACCTGCAAAATTTAAATACCAAATATTACTTACAAAAAAAAATATTTTTTACGTGTTTTTTTTTTTTAAAAAAAAGTGAGGCGGAACCGTCCTGGTAGGATGGCACGACCATGGGAGAGCCGCCCTCACAGGGCAGCCACCCACGGGGCTAGCTGCCCGCCTAGCTAGGACGGCATCGTCATGGCAGCCCCAAATCTCCAAAAATTAGCATTTTGCTTACCTCGTCATTAGAATACGGCACGTAATTGTCCATTTTCGGAGTTCTCGAACTATTCTATGTTCGTGATAGCTAGAAGATTTCAGAGGATTTCAGAGAATGTTAAAAGTTAGAAAATGAAGCAAAGGGCAAAAGTGTAAAAAGTAGGGCGGTAAATAGCAAAAATGGGGCGGTGTTTAGCAACACCCTTTTTTAATTCCACCACAAACCCTTGAAACTCGATCAATAATCCATTGTGAACTCGATTTTCTTCAACTGACTTCTCCTGCAAAATCAGCACCCCATCGCCATGAACCTCTCACTTACCGCTTTCCTAGTAACTGATTCTTCAGACGAACTATGGCTCTTTTTAAGGAAAAGAGAAAAGATAAAGTGATAATTTCTCATTATCCTTTGGTAATTAATTGATGTCTTTGTCGGCGCTCTACTTTGCCTAAGTTTTATTGGGTCACACCAACCGAATTTCCCTAATAGACAAGTACTTGGTAACTTGTTTTTCACGAAATTAAAGTTATCATATACATGGCAATTGTTTTGGCTTAGTTTGCTAGTCTATCTAAAGCAAAGGGTGTTTATACCCTAATTTACAATTAGGGATAGATTTGTAAAAATGGTCAGGCCTAATATATCAAGGGTCAAAATTCAATCTTGAATTGCATAAGACTTTGACCATTTGGTTAGAAAAAGGCTTTTATTTAACCCTGAGCCCAATTTCACTTAAAAATAATTAAGCCCACATAAGTGGTTGATTAACCAAGATTTGAGACTGTGGCCGTGAGATTCGGCCTTGGTGGCCGTGAGATCTGGCCATAGTGGTCATGAGATTCGGCCACATGATGGTACACAGCAAAAGCCAAGATGGTCTATGTGGTTTTACGATATTTGGCTATTTCCATTTAAAGCCACGCTATCAAAGGAAAGGCCATCGACGGTTCCCAATTTTGCTTCAGGATGACTTTAATTGCTTCGGGTTAGTATGTGGCCGTGAGATTCGGCCATAGAGGTCATGAGATTCAGCCAAAGGAAAGGCCATCACGGTTTTCAATTTTGCTTCAACATCTTTGATCAATTTTGATTAATTGATAGGTTATGACTCAATTGCAAGGCAAACAAATAAATAAAATTAATGATAGGTGTCGTATGAAGGCAAGTCAAAGTCATGAAATCCCTCAATAACATTCACAAGGAAATTACGTGTGTATCTATTGATTGATCATAATTCCTAAATTTCTGGATCTAGAGTGGTGTTGAGAATTCTCTTACGCAGATTGAAGACAATCACAATCTCTTGATGGAAGGGATTTTGTCGGAAGCCTTGGCTATATAAGCTGAAGCACCACCAACGTTGAAGGGGGTCAGCACTAACAATCTGCTTAACGCAAACAACACTACACTCCAAGCTTTACGCTTGCTACACTTTTCTTTTCCTTGCTCATGCAAGTTTTTATTTTGTTTTCTTTTGGACTCTTGTCTACTTGAGACTCTTGTCTCCAAGACTCTTGTCTACTTACTTGAGACTCTTGTCTCCATCATTCCTCTCAATCTCTTGATTGAGTTTACTCTTGTAATTTTCATTTTTTCAATAATAACAATACATTGTTATTTTGTCCACAAACTTGTTTGAAACCTGATTATACTCTGCAAGAAGCCTGGGTTGCATGTATTAAACACTTCGGTGTGACTTACAACCAGATCTCACAAATCGCCTGATTTGATCGTATTTCAAGCTCTCTGAGCTCGCATTAATTCCTTTGTCAATTTGTGCAAATTGACTAGCACGCCCCTCTCCACGATCAGAGCATGCGCCCAGGGAGATTTTGGCGCTAAATCTCTTTTTGGCACGCCCGGTGGGACCAAGAAGGACTTCTTAAAGTCATCAGGTCGTTTTCTCAAGTTTATTTTTACTTATTTTGATTTTTATTTATTTTCCTACACTTTTAATTTCACTTTTACGATGATTGATATGCCTCCAAAAAAAACTGGAAAGAAAGTTGAATCTTCCCACAGTATGGCTTTGCGTGGGCATGAAAATGACAAGGAGCATGCAGACCCTCCTGAAAATCAAGAAATGTTTACGTTTATGGCTAACCTTCAAGCCATGATGCAAGCTAATGAAGCCATGATGCGAGATCTAAAAATAGATCTAGAGCGAAAAATGGAGAGTCAACGTACTCAGACTGAAGACAATCTTAGGCAATACCTAAGGGAAATCATTCCTGCCCAAGGAGGTATCGATGTTGCTATGGATGATGTGGAAGTCCCACCTCCTCCACTTGGGGTTGATAACATCCAAGAGAGGCAAGATCCCATTCTTCCCATAGAGGAAGTTGCAGATAATGTCAATGAGGTGAATAGGGATGAAGTTGCTGCCTATGTGCCACCACGTGTTCGTGGGAATGGCGCGGGAAATGGCCACCATGGAAATCACAACGGCCATGGCCATAATGGAGGTAGGAACGGCGGCAATGGTAATGCAAATGGTAATAACCACCATCGCCATGCTGCACTGCGTCAACAACAACAACAACCAAGAGGAGCTATAGCTCCTGCGCATCGTGCTCCAGTTATATAAGCTTTTCGTCAAGAAGAGCCAGCACAAGCACAATTCAATGTGAATCAGATTAAGGAAATAATACAGGATGTAATTGGCCCTGGGTACAGGAGAATGGATAAGCCAATTTTTCAAAAACCATATCCTGAAGCATTTGATCAATTACACCCTTTTCCTAGGGGATACAAAATACCTGACTTTAATCATACCTTTTCAGGTACCTCATCTGATCTTTCAACTGTTGAACACTTGGGACGTTTTCCCATCCAGTGTGGAGAAGCAAACACCGGCTTCCAAAAGTTGAGATTGTTCCCAAACTCTCTCACAGGGGTTGCGTTCACTTGGTACATCAATCTTCCACCTAACTCTGTTACGACGTGGGAAGAAATGGAAAGGCTTTTCCATACTCAGTTTTACAAAACGGAGCCCGAAATTTCCATGGTTGATCTCTCAAGACTATCCCAGAGAAAGGGAGAGTCGGCTGAGGATTATATTGCTAGGTTCAAAAAAATGAGGAACCGCTGCCGCATTGCTTTACCAGAGCAAGAATTTGTGCGGCTAGCACAAAATGGTCTAGATCTCGAACTTCGGAAGAAATTCGAAGGAATGGAGTTCAGGGATTACTATGAGATGTCGACAAAGGTGGCTCGATATGAAAGATTGTTGCATGAAGAAATGGAGAGGAGAAGCTCTTCATATGGCACATATTATCATGAACCTAATTATGAATTGGGTGTGGCCGAAATCAAGACTGATAGGCCAATTGAATGTCCTGCGCTGGTGAAAACAGGTATGAGACATCCACAGACCCAAGAATATCTTGCAACGGCTTACCAAAGACAGGCAGAAAAGAAGCCGCATGATGTAATCGCATCTATTCCTTTGATGTGTCGAAGACTTCTGATGTCTTTGATTATCTTTACAAATCTGGGATGGTTAAATTGCCTCCTGGACATAATATTCCTTATCTTGAGATCATCAAAGGGAAGGAATACTGCAAATACCACGACTCGTGGAGGCATTCCACCAATAGTTGTACTGTATTTCGAAATATAGTGCAAGAGAAAATTGAACGTGGAATCTTGAAGTTTCCAGAACCTTCGAAGAAAGATATGGGGGTTGATAAAAACCCTTTCCCAGCTACAGTAAATATGGTGGCAATTAATTTTCCCAAAGATGGTCGATTGACTAAAGAAGAGAAAGCTAAAGAGGTGTTAGAAGAAGGACAAGCGGCTTTTATGAAGAAGAAGTTAGTGGTCCACTTTGATCAAGAGCCTTGTGATAAACCAAAGAAACAAAGGTATGGTTATGCTAATTCTCATAAAATTGATTTTGTCCCTAACCAAATTGGCAGGCCAATTCCAAGACCACTAGCGTTGAATATGACTCCTAGGAGGAAAATGGAGTTGACTCCACCAACAGCGAGGCATGTAATTTCACGTGCTGAAAATTATTTACCAAATAAAAATGTGCCTCAGAAGCTCAATTTTGACCATGATCAAGGAAGATCGATGCATAACGAGAAACCAAAAAATCAGGTGGCTTATGCGTCAACTAAGGAAACTTGTTTTGCAAACCCTAAGCCAAAGCAAACAGCGCCACATCCTATGGTTCCTTCAACTTCCAAGGCGATCCCATCCAATTTATTTGTGCTGAATGAAAATGTTAAATTTCCCACAAAGCCAAGATCCGTGAGGCCAAGAAGGGAGTTAAGGCCATGGCTTGAGGGAAAAAAGGAAGAATATAGAGCCAGATCTATTAATCAAGAAGTTCAACGCCGTTAAAGCTATGCCATTCGAAAATTCCAATCCAGAATGGTGAGGCCAGCAAATGGAGTTCCATATGGAATTTGGCAAAGGGTGGAACATCCTAAATTTCCAAGTCCGCCTTTACAGCGAAATAGAAAAACATGGAGACGGAGGGAACTTAGAAGGAGGGCTAGAGCCATGAAGGAGATGGAAATGAATGTGGGGTTTCGACAATTTGAACTCAAAACCTCAGAAATGCAATGATAATATTGATGGCGCTGAAGAAGGAAACAGTAATGATGTACACCCCATGCTTAAAGTGACACATGATATGTCATTTGAGCAATTGGTAGTGGCAAGATTAGAGCCATTGGGGGCCAAAGTTGTGTTGGAACAGGCTAGGCTTGATGAACGGGAAGCAAAGATTAAAAGAAAAGAAGTCGAACTTGACATCAGGACAAATGTGTTGGCCGATATGATAATTGCTCTAAATAAAGCTCGAGATGAGTTTAATAGACAGAAAAATGGCGATGTTGATCAAGACAAAGTTGACAACAAAGAAGATGATGTAAACGTTGTTGATCTGGTTAATGCTCTCTGTGAGAATACTAGTGGTAAGAAAGAAGGAGATACCAATGATATGGATCTTGATACCATTAATGATACTGGCTCAAGCATTAATGATTATGCTAATGCCTTTTCTCCGCTTTGAGTGAAAACAAAACCATGCAAGCAGATGATTTCCTTGCAAAATCTGAAGATTCTATAACTTTTGGCCAGTTCACTATTAATTTGCATTGTAATGTTCTTACATTACCTTGCATTTTTGCCGCCAAAGTTGACGAAGAGATGGATCTAAGTGAGCCACTCCCAAATGGTGATGCAGAGGATGAAATTCTATTACCTTGCAAGAGTGAAAAATGCTCGGGGGGCAAGGATAATGAAGCTAAAGCCATTACATTCTTGAAACCTAATGAGAATGCCACTCGCCATATCAAGCCTTTGTACATCAAAGCACATTTTGATGGGATTCCATTAAACAGGATATTGGTAGATAATGGTGCTGCTGTGAATCTTCTCCCATATGCGTCATTAAGAAAACTTGGCAAATGTGCAGATGATTTAATTAAATCGGATGTAACAGTGAGTGATTACTTTGGTGCGGTTAGCAAGACAAGAGGAATTTTGCCAACAAGTCTTACGGTGGGATCAGAAACATCTGTATCTGCACTCTTCGTTGTGGATTCATCAACGTATCATGCTTTATTAGATAAGGATTGGATTCACTCCAACTGGTGTGTTCCCTCATCCCTCCATCAATTCCTGATGTTTTGGAACGACAATGAGGTGGAGATCGTTCATGCTGATAACAAACCTTTCAAGGTAGAATCTAATGCCGTAGAGGCAAGGTATTACGATGAATCAGTAGGGACTATTTGGTTTCTCGGCCAAGATAAGTATGGCCGACCCATGCCTATGGTTTCAAGTATGCAAACTAGGCAAATTGGTGTCAAGGAAGCCATGGAAGACCTTGTTAGGCCTAATGTGATTATTCCGTATAGGCCACTCGGTTGTGCTCCTATCATTGAGGAGATCTCATGAATATCCAAGAAAAAGAAAAACATGAGGTGGTTGACAACACCTTGAGAAAATTGTCAGCTTATACTCTTGAGAAGCGAATTCAAAGTTTAGAGGACTTAGCCGCCCCAGTAGCTAATGCGGTTTATCAAAATCAAAATAAAATTCAAGATGAGATCACCATACAGGAGCTTGATCATGCTCCAATGAAATTAGATGATCTCAAGGCCGAGGTACAAGATCCTTTGCTTGAAATAGATCTTGGTACTGATGGAAAGCATCGGCCACCTTATATAAGTCAATTATTGGCAGAGGAAGATAAATTACGCATTGTCGCTTTGTTAAAAGAATACAAGGATTGCTTTGCATGGGATTATGATGAGATGCCAGGGTTGAGTAGGGATTTGGTGGAACATCGCCTCCCAATTATTGAAGGTTATCGTCCTTATCAACATCCTCCTAGGAGAATGGCTAACAATGTTATTCTTTTAGTTAAAGAGGAAATTGAGAGGTTGATTAAAGTGGATTCATCCGTACTGCGAGGTATGTGGAGTGGATTTCAAATATTGTTCATGTAATTAAAAAGAATGGTAAAATTAGGGTGTGTGTTGATTTTCGTAATTTAAATTCAGCCACCCCTAAAGATCAATATCCTATGCCTGTTGCAGATGTGCTAGTGGATGGAGCCGCCCAAGACAAGATCTTATCCTTCATGGATGGTCATAGCGGCTATAATCAAATCTTTATTGTCGAGGAAGATGTTTCAAAAACGGCTTTTAGATGTCCTGGGGCAATTGGTACTTTTGAATGGGTTGTAATGCCATTCGATCTCAAGAACGCAAGAGCTACTTATCAGAGAGCCATGAATGCAATCTTTCATGATATGATCGGTAAGTTCATGGAGGTTTATATTGATGATGTTGTGGTCAAATCTCATAACAGTTTAAACCACATAAACCATTTGCGTCGCTCATTTGAAAGAATGAGACATCATGGTCTAAAAATGAATCCTCTAAAGTGTGCGTTTGGTGTGAGTGCAGGAAATTTTCTTGGCTTTTTGGTTCACCAACGTGGGATTGAGATTGACCAAAACAAGGCAAGGGCTATCATGCAAGCTCAACCGCCAACCAATAAAAAGGAACTTCAACGTTTCCTTGGTCAGATTAACTTCTTGAAAAGATTTATTGCCAACACTGCTGGTAAGACGAAGGCGTTTTCACCACTGTTGAAGTTAAAAGATGGAGAAGAGTTCGTTTGGCGTGAAGAGCATCAAGTGGCATTTGAAGCCATCAAGAAATACTTGGCAATGCCACCTGTATTAGTTCCTCCTAGGAAAGAAAAACCCTTGTACCTTTATGTATCGGCCACTTTATCTTCTATTGGATGTTTGTTGGCCCAAGAAGTAGAAAGAGGAAAAGAACAAGTGGTTTATTACTTGAGTCAGACACTTACTGATGTAGAAAATAGGTATAGTCCGATCGAGAAATTATGTTTATCACTTTATTTTGCTGCAATAAAACTTCGCCATTACATGCTTTATTATAATGTGTGTATAATTGCCAAGACGGATATAGTTAAATATATGTTGACTCGGCCAATTCTAAGAGGCCGACTTGGTAAATGGTGTTTTGCTTTATTAGAATTTAGTTTTAGATATATTCCGCAAAAAGCAATAAAGGGTCAAGCTGTGGCTGATTTTTCGGCCGATCACCCTTGCTTAGATCTAGGGGAAGATTTTGAAGAAGCCATGGAGGTGATGGAAATCTCCACACTGCCTTGGATATTAGAATTTGACGGATCTAGCACATCAGAGTCAAATGGTGCTGGGATTGTCATCACATCGCCATAAAGGACTTGGACCATGATGGCGTTTCATTTGGATTTTGAATGTACAAATAATCAGGTGGAATATGAGGCACTAATCATCGGCTTGGAAATACTTAAGGAGATGAAGGCTTCCACAATTC